AATAGAGGAAATCGGAGAAAGAGCTTTTTGTTTTCACACCCAATGGGTTAATACAAGTACTGACGAACTGTGCGCCCACTGTTTAAGGATTTTAACTTTAAGATTAATTATAGATGACTATATTGATCTGAACTACTAGAAATATTTAAGGGCAACAGCCGAATATAGACGAAAAGCGCATGAAAATTGTTTTGCATTGTATGTAACTTTATTTGAAGAATGGATTGAAATGGGCGGGGAAGTTTAGCTTCCACCACAAGTCCCGCTTGTAATAGGTAGACTGCTGAAAGAGTGTAAAAGTACTTGTCTTCATAATTAACTGGCAAATAAGACGGGGAAATGGATATCAAATTAGGAAGGGAAAAAGAAAATAAGACTTAATGTACCAGGGAAAGCGAAAAAAGCGAAAGGTCATTGCATGCAGACAAAAAGAGGGAGTATTAGTCATTGACGTAAATAAGATGAGGCGACTAATCCCCGAAAACAAAGGGTGAAAATGAAGTTCATTTCGCTAGCTCAGCGAAAGTAATGTCCCGTGTTTAAATTAAGAAGGGAAAAAGTAAATAAGACAACATCACGTACGAGGGAAAGTAACAAAAGCGAAAGGTCATTGCGTGCAGGCAAAAAGAGGGAGTATTAGTCATTGACGTAAATAAGATGAGGGACTAATCCCCGAAAACAAAGGGTGAAAATGAAGTTCATTTCGCTAGCTCAGCGAAAGTAATGTTCCGCGTTTAAATTAGGAAGGGAAAAAGTAAATTAGACTTAACATCACGTACGAGGGAAAGCAACAAAAGCGAAAGGTCATTGGGTGCAGGAAAAAAGAGGGAGTATTAGTCATTGACGTAAATAAGATGAGGGACTAATCCCCGAAAACAAAGGGTGAAAATGAAGTTCATTTCGCTAGCTCAGCGAAAGTAATGTCCCGCGTTTTTAGAAATAAGCAAATTTGCTTGCCGGCAGAACGAGGTGAAATAGTAATTGCGTCAGCAATCTTGGCAACAATGAGTACGTACGTTAATGGGAAGAGCCTACCTCAGCAACAAAATTATTTATTACACGTGTACAATACGCTTCAGCGAGTTCGTACGCAAAGGAAGCCTAAACAGCTCAAGGGCCAATACTGCCTTTTGTTTCAGCGATTATAAAGGAACGAAAATTTGCCCACAATCGTTCATTCACCGCCAAGTGTCTTAAAGTCTTGAGCAATTAGCGATCACAACGAGTCAGCATTGTCAAAGTGTAAGTTCTAATCCAGCTAAGTTATTGCTTGAAAATGAACCAAGATTTATCAAATGAAGGTAAGATTGCTTAATTACCCGTTGCGTAAAACAAAGTGTTTAAAACGAATCAGAAAGGGGAGTGCTTTAATGCTGTTGTATTAATTTATAGAGCTCATCAGCTACAACGGGAAAGGTGTTCAAGAGCCAGCCTCAATAGAAGCAATCGATACCGACATTGAAGGTAAATTTTGTTAATAATGTTTGGTGTATTAGTAATAAAGCGTCAACAAAAAGTAATGTAGGCGAAAGTGTACGTTAAAGACAGAATTTTAACTGCGAACTGTGTGTAGGGATGCGTAAACAAAGTGAATGCAGAATATTATTTTTACAGAGCGAAGCATAACCGCCAATTAGGGTTAACTAGAGTAAACTGTGAAAGTGTTGGTTTTTAAATTATAACCGCAAACTGAGTGTTGCATAGCGGAAAGGTAGATTTCAAGTAGAACACAGAAAAATAACGGCAATTCAAGCGTTTCGAAGCGTAAAGAACAAAATGTAGGCTTAATTAGCAAAAACAATCAAGCGTTGATGCAGGCGTTTCGTTTTCATGTTTTATAGCCTTAATGAAGGAAGATGATGGGGGTCTGCTGTCTGCCTTTCGCCGCTTCGAGCAACATGGAGGGAATCCACTTTTCCGAGCAGAATTTACACCAGTGGGAAGAAATAGATCGTTTCGTGGCATTGTAGACCAAAAGAAATATAGGCCTACTTAACAACAACTGCGAGATGCGCAAGATGAACCACTAAGGGAAGCCATCACCGAAGCTCTAATTCAGGGTTCAACGTCCAGGATTATTCTTTGCTAGTCTCTGTCCATTCAAACGCATTCACTCATGTCTGGTCACAATCTGCCCGAAATGTCCCTTTAGAAGAATGGTTGTCTAATGGGGCTTACACCCGCACCTGGCTGGAAGATTTAGCCAAAAAATTGAATTCAGCTGAAGTCATGGACCCCCAACGAGATGGCTTTTATGTAGAACTCACCTTTGTGAAACGGTTAGGTCGTGGAGGAAAGAACGGGGGTAAAAAAGCCAATCCTAGCCACCATGCGTGGGAGAAATTGGCCAAGAAAAAGAGCTGTGTGGTGACCATCCAAAATAAAGACAACATATGTCTCGTCCGGGCAATTGTGACGATGAAGGAGAGGGTGGACAATGGCTCCCAGTATCAGAATCTACGGAAGGAAAGACCCATTCAAGAACGATTGGCCAAATTGATTGGCCGAGAAGCGGGTGTTCCCGAAGGCCCCTGTGGGTTTGAAGAATTGGAAAAATTTCAAGACTTTCTAGGACCACAGAGATACCAACTCATTGTCGTCGAACCGTCTAAATGTTTAATTGTGTTCAAAGAGGCAAAATACAGTAACACACCGCATGTTATCTCATTGGTGAAACATCAAGACCATTTCGATGGGTTAACTAGCATCCCTGCCCTTATCAATCGTTCCTATTACTGTCGTCTGTGCGATAAGGGTTATGATGTCGAGGGCGTCACCCACCATAACTGTTGCGGACAGAACTGCCCCTCCTGTCTTCGAACAAATAAGACCTGCCCAAATTATGCTGCGTAGATCAAGCCAACCCTTGAATGTCCAAACTGCAACTGCAAATTTTATGGCCAAGATTGTTTTGAAGCCCACAAAAAGAAAGGAAAGAAGAAAGACGACAAAAGCATTTGTGAAAGCTGGAGAAAATGTTCGAAATGTTCCGCCGAATTTCATTTTGATCCCACCAAACCACATGAGTGTTACCACGTCACCTGCACTAACTGTGGGGAATTTAAGCATGTCAACCATAGATGCTTCATTCAGCCGGTCCAGCCGAAGAAAGACACCGCCCAAGTAGACGGATTTGAAGATCCGATGGTATTCCAAAATGAGAATGATGACGAGAATGAAGAGAAAGGTCCACCCCCTCCCCCCGTCTTAAATTTCGCGGATATCGAATGTTCGTTAACTGAAGAAAGAGTATTTATACCCAACCTAATCTGCTGGTCGTCTGAAGAGGATGACGAGCTCTTTCATAGTGATTCCATCGAGGACTTCCTCCAGGCCCTGGAAGACCTTACAGAAGTGGAAGGAGATGAAAGACCCCGCAAAGTCATCACCTTCTTCCATAACATGAGAGGGTTTGACGGGAACTTCATTTTAGAAGCACTGTATGACCAAGGACGAGCGGTCGAAAAACTTCTAACGCAGGGTGCAAAAATCCTTTATTTTGAGTCGGGGAACTCGATCTTTAAAGACTCGATGAATTTCTTTGCCATGGCACTTGAGAAATTTCCTGCTACGTTCAATCTTCGTGAGCTCCACAAAGGTTTTTTTTCCTCACGCCTTCAACCGTGAAGAAAATTTTGAGTATTCTGGCGAGTACACCCCAAAAGAAGACTACCATCCAGCCGAAATGGATAGTAAGAAGAGAGACAAGTTTCTTGCATGGCACGCCCGCAAGGTCGCGGAACAAGCAGTGTTCAGCTTTCTAGAGGAGCTATTGAAGTATTGCGAAAGCGATGTCAAGCAATTAAAAGAAGGGTGTTTGAAGTTTGTGGCGGAGTTTGAAGAAATTGCCGGCTTCAATCCTCTCGTGGAAGCAGTCACGATTGCCAGCGCCTGCAATCTCTTCTGGCGACGAGAAAAATTGGAAACCGATCTCATTGCCTTAGAACCGCAAGGTGGGTGGCGTAGAAACCGCATCAACCAAAGTAAAATCGCTTTGGAATGGCTCTATTATCAAGATCATCTTTTGGGAGGGATGGGGCGTGTCCGCCACGTGCGCAATGGCGGGGAAGTACAAGTCGGCAACCCAGACGAGATGGTGTACGTGGATGGCTACGACGAGACCACCCATACCGTCTTTGAATTTTACGGCTGCTTCTATCACAGGTGCCCCCGTTGTCTCAAGCGGCACCGCAATGTCAGAAGAAATTGCCATGCAGACCGTACAGTCAATGAAGTGTATGAAGCCATCGAAAGAAAAGCGGCCATGTTGCGTCCTTGTGGTTACCACGTCGTAGAAAAATGGGAATGTGAATTTCAAGAAGAGAAGAAGACTGACCCTGCCTTAAAAGCGTTCCTAGACGACTTGGACATGGTCCCTCCCTTAGACCCACGAGACGCCTTCTATGGGGGCAAAACGGGGGCTGTCTCCTTGTACGCCAAAGCCGGAGAGGGAGAGAGCATCAAATACTGTGATGTCACGTCCCTTTACCCCTGGGTAAACAAATACAAAGAATACCCGGTTCGGTTCCCGCTGATCTATACCAATCCCTCGGACCAGAGATCGATCATTATTTTGGCTTGGTACAATTCGACATCTTGGCCCCGCAGCATTTATTACATCCCTTACTCCCCGTCTGGGCTTGTTGTAAACTCACCTTCCCCCTCTGCTCCGCATGTGTTCGCGAAGAACAGCAAAAGCCCTGGCTGGAAAGAACCAACCTGTGTCCTCATACAGATCAAGAACGGATGCTGAGAGGGAGCTCGGTTATCGTATCGTTAAAATTCATGGGGTGTGGTATTTCTGCGAAGAGGACAGACGGGTGGGGCTCTTCGCAGATTATGTCAACACCTGGCTTAAAATCAAGCAGGAATCGGCGGGCTGGCCAGACGAGTGTCACACACGAGAGCAGAAAGACGCTTACCTCCGTGACTATGAAGAGAAAGAAGGGATTCGTTTGGAGCAGGTCGCCAAGAACCCGGGGCGAAAACAGATCGCTAAGATGATGCTGAACAGGTGAGTGTTTAGTGTGGAAAAAGTCTGCTGGTAGGAGGTATAAGTTGCAGACAAAGTCTGCACTTAAGAAGCAAGGTCTGACATGAAACGACATGCAACCGTTTTACTCAAAAATACAAGGAAATGTATGGAAATCATGCAGAAAAAGTCTGCAAATAAGAAGCTTAAGTGGCAGACAAAGTCTGCAAGTTAACAACCTCCTTTTAATGGGATTCTCTGTTTCTTTTTTCCCTTTCAGCTTCTGGGGCAAATTCGGCGAAAGGCAAAACAAACCCCAGACGCATGTTATCTAGAGCGCCCATCAACTGTACTCCATCCTGAACGACCCCTCCTACCACATCAGTGCTGTCAGGATCTGTTCCGAAGACATCATGGAAGTGGTCACCGCCCGAGCTGACAAAGAGGTGGAACGAAGCTTGAAGACCAATTTATTTATTGCCATTTTCACAACAGCTCATGCCAGATTGAAATTGTACTCTGCGTTAGAAACATTACAACAGCGAGTGTTGTATTATGACACGGATTCGGTCATATATAAATGGCGCCCAGGGCAGGTAGAAATTCCCTTAGGTGTGTTTTTGGGAGAATTCACGGACGAAGTAGAAGGTGACCCCATCATAGAATTTGCCAGGGGGGGTGCGAAAAACTATGGGTATGAAACCAGGGGAGGGAAAGTAGAATGTAACGTTAGGGGATTTTCAGTGAATTACAAGAACAAACAAATTTTGAATTTTTATACTCTTCGCGATAACATTTTGAAAGAACTCGATCAGCCTCAATCATCTAGGAGAGAAATGTCCTTAGTGGATAAGCATTTTTTTTTTCACAGAGACCAGACCAACAAACGGATTCGTTTGATTGAACGCGAAAAGAAATATGGTCTGGTCTTTGACAAACTAGTGATCGACAGGACTACTCGCCAGTCGTATCCTTTTGGATACTCTCGTATTCACGACGAGGTCGACTTGATTTCGGAGTTGTAAATAGTTTTTCATAACCAGTATTGTACATAGAAACAGGTCAGCTTTGTGGCGCCATTCGAAGTGTTGTAATGTTAAATCAACAGGGAGGTTTAACGAAGAAATAAATTAAATTCGCGGCAACTCTCTGTGTGTTTTCTCTGGGTAAGGGTTAGGGTCAAAAAGAGGCAGATGGTTAAGTTAAACAGCATTTATTGAAAAAAAGGAAAATGAAATTACAATTTGAGTTTTCTCTTGGCTTGCATGATTTTCTTGACGACTTTCTCAGTCATGGTCTTTTTCCCGGGTAAACGATCAATGGCTTTGATCATGACGTCATCCACTTACCATTTATCTTGCAAATTCTTGGCTTTGCTATATGCAATGTCATGATGCATGGCAATTCGGTCTAACCTGTTTTTTGGCTTGTCACCGCGTTTCAAACGTTTGGCTAGAATATGAAACTCCATGCCTGTTTTCTCAACGGCTTTTTGAAAATCAAATTTTTCCCCTCGTTGTCTCCTTCTACGGGGTCTTGAACGTTTCCGTTTACCAGGGGCTGGGGCTAACTTTTTCAAAGCTTTTCTGGTGGCCTCTTTTAGCACTGTTTATTTTAAACCTTCTTTTTTTCGTTCCTCACTCTGGGATTTGCGTGTACGTCTTCTTATGGCTCTGAGACTGTCTCTGGCTAATTCACCCGGAGTTTTCCAATGCGATTCGCCTAACTGGTCTGAAAACGGTAATTCTGTGGCTAATTCTTCCAAAGACTTTTCAGGGGTCTTGAAGGTAGACGAAGCAGACTTTTTCCTTCTAGGTGTCTTCGGTAACAAACGCTTTCCTTTCGATCCAGTTTTAAAGGAAAACTTGGGTTTTTTTCTGCTTTCCGGAGTCTTGGGCGACTGTTTAATAGCCGGTGTCACGGCGAATTTTAGCAATATTACTCAGAAATTGTTGCATGGCACCCACCGCTAGATTATTGGCATCGTCATCATCCGTGTAGTCATCATCACGCCCTATAGCGCGTATACCCCCAGGCTGACGAATTTTCTTGGTCCATTGTCGTAACTGTCGGTTCACGGATTTCAAACGGGGTTCTTTCCAGGTATCGGGGGCAGGACTTTCTAGCAACAGTTCTTGTTAGGCCGCTAAACCCGCTGCTTTAGTCGGACGACTATCATCTAAGAGGTCTGATTTGTATTTATCCCTTAGCCGTAAAAATTGAACAGAGTTTTCCACGGGCGTGCTACTAATACCGTCCATGGTCAGCAATGAATGAACATCAAAGTCCCAGGGGCATACTTATACGTTTTTGGACCCCCACTTCTTGGGATATTTTTCTTTCATGCGTTGGTGAAGGTTTTTCAACAAGGTGACCAACGTCATCAACCCTTCTAGCACACATAGCAGTCGTTGGAACAGGACTTGTTTCATCTTAATAGCGGTAGGGGGTCTTAGCACAATGATAACAACGTTTTAACTCACTCCAAACACCTGCGCCTAATTGATGAATCATGAGGTGACGTCTTCTTTTTATACTCTGACGGGGACTTGCAATCAGGCGAAGCTGTTTGCTGTAGGGTTTTAATTTGGGCACAGTTTTTCTGCCAGGACGAATCGCCCCTCGCAAGGTATTCATGACTAATTCACTCACAGCATTAATTTGATCTGCATTGGCATAGCGAAGTTTTTGTTGACGTTTGTTTTGGTTGGCTTCCTTTAAGACATCTTTTAAAAAGGCTCCTTTTCGTGTCATACGTCTCGTCATCGTGCTTCAGGCCTCCTTTGGGGTCTGCGTTTCCTTTTATACTTCTGTTTGGATAAGGCATGTAAAGCTTTCATGGTCCCATAATTGGCCGCAGCGCCGAGTCCTCCCATGGCTGCCGCTTTCCCTCCAGCCACTAAGGCAGGAATAGCTGCTGCTAAGAAGGGAGCTATCCCTCCACGTTGTCTTCCCACCCCAGGTTTGCGCTTTTTTGCCAACCCTCCCCGTCGTTGTCGTCGTTGTCGTCGTCGTTGGCCGTGGTTAATGAATCACTCGTGAATGAATCTCCTTTTATATCTTCGTCAAACGTATGGACCTGAGGTTTCCCCTCACGTTGGGTTAAATGACTCCATACGCGAAAACGATCGTCGGAGGCTGGATGTAAATCCAACATAAAATAACCAAAGGGGCGAGCCGTCAACCTCAAAAATAATTGAACCACTCGACGCCATTTGTCTGGATACACTTGCAGCAACAGGTTACGGATGCCCGTCTGGTCACGAGGACTTTTGAAGCAAATAGCATAATGCGCGTTGCAGTTGATGGTTTTGGCAAATTTGCCGGAAGGAAAGAGATCTTGGGTTAGATACAAGGCGGTAATACCACGATGATGAGAATCTTTGGTAAATAAATCCAACACGCGTTTATCATTGCCCGATTCCTCCATCAGATCATCGAGAATGCCAAACCCATGATGTTCAGGTTTAAACCATTCGACTAACGCTCCTTCAGGAGGGAGACCTTTGTAAAAGTGAACGTTGGAGTGTTTTTTCATGCGATCAAAACGTGGTTGCCATCGATCGTAGCAGTAAACCATCTTTTGGGGAGGGGAATAACAGTTTTTTCTCTTTCAAGAGGTTTTCGACCAATTCACTCTTGCCAGACCCAGACGGGCCGGCAATAATTACACTAGCAGGTTGATGAATCATGTTTCCCACGGTTTACGAAAGTGAGTGTAATGACCAGTCGCTCCCACTGCACGCATACGTTTATAGCCTTTGTCCTTGCCCAATTTATACCCAATTTTGGCGGCTGTGGATAAGACGGTGCCAAGTCCTTTGCCTCTCTGATAATGACGGACTTTGTCTTTTATACCTTTGAAAGCTTGCTTGGCTAAAAAGGTGCCCATTTTAGCAAAACTGGGAGAGGGCCCTGACAAACCCATAGCCACACCTTCGGCAATTTTATCCACTAGACGGGGTTTTCTTTTAAATCGGGCGCCCCTTTTTTGACTTTGGCGTCGTGTTCGCCTCATGGTGAGTTGTTTTCGCCCCATAGTGTATGATACAAACGGGGAGAAGCTAATTGAACAATCAGTTGCATGTGTTCCCTTAAAAAGGTTTCTCCCATCCATTCAATGTAGTGTTTCATGGCCTCCCAAGCTTGTTTTGAGCCAACTGAACCGCCTGCTTCCAATGAGACTCATCCCATTGGTCTTGGTCAAAATTCTCCCAGGGATTTTGACTCATATACAGTACCTCGGCTTTGGCAAAGGCCTCATAGACTTGACGGGAATCCTGACGAGTAATCATGCTGAAAGTACACATGATACAGTCTGGGAGAGACTAAGGCTAGGGTAGTAAACACCACCTTTTTAAGGACTGGTTTGTCCAACAGAAAGGTGTTTAATGCAGACCATTGATGAGATCTGGCAAGGGTCATAATCTCCACCCAGTCTTGTAAACTACCCAAGGGCCAATGACAATGACAGTACCATTGATACAACAAATAGATATGGGCTTGCATAAAGCCAATCCCTCTATGGCGTTTTGCTCATCCCCACGAGTTAACATGTTCAAGGATGAAAGACACAGAGTTGGGTACACATATTTATTGTAAATCATAAAAATAGCAAAAGGCGCAACGGCTTACATTGGATTGTTTACAACTTAATTCTTTTCTAGACAGCTGTGTCTTAATGAGACGTTGAATCTTTTCACCCGCGCGACGATCATTTAATACTAAATTTTGCGAGTTCCATTGCGCTAAAAAATCTTGAAAGGATTCATTCCTGGCTTTGGCTTTTAAAAACAAGAGCGCATAATGTCTACAGGTTTGACTGCCCATGGCTTGCAGGGTATGATCACTGGTAATGACTTCTTTCCATTGCTTGAACCAAGCTTGTAACTGTGAGTTCTTGTAAGTGGATAAGGGCAAACCATAACAATCAAAGACTTCACGCACTCGGTTTCGCGTCCAAATAGCTAACCAATGTTCCCCATGTTGACCTTCGGGGTCTGTGTTGACAATGTAAGCATCACTCAAGACTCTCGTTTTGGGAACGGTCGGTAACTTGTCCGCTGGAAACACCCCTCGAAACACTTTGTTCAAGTCGGGATCTTGTCTGGCTAAGTGGTTCAGGACCGTATCACTCAGAGCTACGAACTCCATCTTAGCTGTTGACAGAATAAAGAATTCCACCCCACTGATCTATTTCATAGATATTTTCATACTCGCTCCAGATCACCACGGTAATGTTGTCACCGACCGCTGCCGGGAAGTCAATTTCGTAGCGGACATTGCCTGTGAGTCTGGGATTTCTGTACTCAGGGTCATGGGCATCGCCTGGGAGATTGTTGAACATGAACAGGGTGCAATTTTTGCCTTGTCCCCAATCCCCTGTCCGCATCATAGGTATTTTGTGATGTTTGTAGGCCCCAGAGGCAGTAAGGAATCGGTCATACCCTACCAAATCTTCTGCTTTGGTATTGCCTGTGAGTTCCAATGATCTGTATGGGTACTCTTCGCCGTCAATCGTCTGTCGGACTCAGGTCACTCCAAACTTTTGATAGGCAAAGGGGTAGTGTTGGAGACTTCCATGGTAATTGGTGGAATTCATTAATCCTATAATGACCTTCCCAGGAACCTTGTTCACGAAAACATTGTCCTGTTGCCATCGAGTGCTATTGCCATCAAACGAATAGGTTCTGATTTCACTGCGAACCACAGGATATTGTACTTTCTTGGTTTTACTAAGGCTACGTTCTTTCTGCAGTCTGGTATACACGGAGGCATTGAGAGAGACCTTCTTCATCCAGAGAGTGACAAAGATGTCATTGTCTTCTAGGGTGGGAATCTTTTTGCCTACGGAGGTGGTCGTGTCTGGCGTTCCAAAGAGAAACATGTTACTGTCGTTTAAATAGAGCTCTAGATCAATTTGAACCCCTGGCACCAGACATTTTCCGGTTCTGAACGCGGACACGTGAGGTTTGATCATAAAGGTATGATACGCTTTGCCTAGCAAACGGCGGGTTAAGGACTTGAGCCCTGTTTTTCCATCCCAGTCGTTGGGATTGGGTTTATCATTAGTACAGGCATTGGTAGGGGTTAATGAAGCACGCACATTCAGTTCATTGACCCATCCTTGAGCAGCCAGGATGGTTTTTCCTTCTTCACGATTGTAATTCAACATTGTTTCTACGTAGGCTTTGTGGTGATAGGCATTGCTTTGCTCCGTCATTAATACGCCGTTGAAGCTCACATTCATTTGATTAAAGAGGGTATGCCCAAAATTGTTGACACAATACACATATTTTGGGTCATTGCCATCTGAGGCGGCTGTTTCATCATCATCAAGACCTCCTGTGCTTGTGGTATTCATACGCACTTTCACTTCCAACTTGGTTTCATTTAGATCATAGTAATCGTCGGAGGAGGGGACGGTAAAGAGAATAGGTCGTCTGCCAGTATTGGCGGGTTTAAAAGGAACCCATCGTTTGGCTTCATACCGATAGTCAATGTCTGGGACGTCGAACAGATTCAGTGACATGTTGACAGAGTGATGGCTTAACGTCGTCTACGACGCCTTTTATACTGTCGACCTTTGGTGGTCCATGGATAAGTGACTTTGTACACACGTCCTCCTTTCTGTTTTGCCTTTTTTCTTAATTGACGTAACCTTAAAGGGTCTACCCCATAAGGTTTGGAGGTCATGGCCCAGGGATTCATAGGGCAAAAAATAGTGCCACCTCGTTGGTAGGGTGAATTGTAACGACCCACCGATCGCTGTGTTTCACACGCGATTGCGATTTTTGTCCACGTCTCATGATTACACGCCTAAAATGTCTTTGACACGTTGTCGTTTCTTTTTATAGCTTTCTTCAGCTTTGGTTTTGGCATAAAGACCTACGGCTGCGGGAATTTTACGCTTCAGACCTCGTTTTAACACTTGGCTTGAGCTTTTAACGGCCTCTGCGGCAGACGCCCCTTTTTCATACGCGTCAAGGCCATGTCTAATGCATCGAAGCAATGTGGGTCCAGCTAATTTGACCAACTCTTGTGAAAACCCTTTTCCTTTCAGAGCGGGGGTATGATATCGTGTGAGTGACCCACACAACATGATGAAAGGCTGTGTCATCAGAGAGGAGAGGGTTCTTTTATACTCGTCGAAACCCTAGGGTCAGGAGTGTTTTGCCCGTAGGTAGGACCAACAAGGATCCACGAGATGTAGAGAGGGACACTTCAATGATTTCCACTCGTTTGCTACGCAGTCGAATCCATTCGCGATAAAGGGGTTCTACCGTAGCTCGGCCCTTACCCCGACGTTCCAATTCCACTTTTCTCAACAACGAATGTTTTTGGGTCCCAACGATGGTCGATTCGACTACATCGCAATACAACATCACTGTTTGTTTGATGGTTCCCACATGTTTATCAAACAAGGCATTTAAGTTTAGGAATTGCTAATCGACGTAGCGGGTGAGATACATATACTGCTTTCCTTCCTCGGTCTTGACTTTCAATAACTCATTCCCTACCCTTAAATCGTGTGGTTTAATCCCCACAAAGTGTTCTCCTAACCACTGATACCTTCGATTGCTTCTCGTAGGAAGTGTTGTATCATTATAGGTGTTGGTGGGTAATGCATAGTCTAAATTGGGTCCTAATTGATACTTGTTGTTCTAATCTTTGGTAAGGAGGCCAAACTTTTGAGCAAAGTCGACATGAAATCTAACGGTTGATAAGGGTTGCACTTTATTGGCCGCATCGCGAGCATAGACATCTTGAGGAGGGATGGCTTTTAAAACCAGCGTGTCTTGTTTTCATTCAAAAGTGGGTTTCCAAGTGGATTTCAAGGATACAGTGGTTGCATCATTTTTGGCTGTTTTCCAAGCGACTGAGGTGGTCGTCACATCTTTCATCATGGTTAGATCCATATGGGTGATAATATTATGCCATAATTGAATACCTGAGGTGACCGGAAAATCGTTTTCCATCACGTCCTTTAAGATCACCTCTTTGTCTTTGGCTTTAAAGTCCACCAACCATGAATTATCCGCTGCTTGATAACGTTGGGTGAAAGTATAACGATATTTGATTAACCCTATATCCTGATTAGAGGAAAGAACGGTGGGACTATGTCCCTCGTCAGCCATGGAGACACTCCATAAACTCGCTTGCCAAGTGTCTCCCGGTAAATTCAATATGGTGGGTAAACGGACTTTAAAATTGTTGTTTTTATTGTTGGGAAATTCATCAGTGGGATCACTGATGAGAGTGATACGAAATTCATTCATAGTACTTGCAAGTCTTTTTTCCAAATCCTACTGTTATACTCTTTGGGCCACCCTTTCCACGCAACAAATACTTGATTTCCTTTTCGTTTTAACACTTTTTCCACCCGAAATAATGCCTCATCGGGGAGTATAACCTTTTGAATATCTTCTTCATAAAATGTGCCTTTTATAGGGGTTCCATTCCATTCTGTGAGGGTGTAGGTGACAACGGGGCGAATGGTTGAAATCCCATGGACTAAAAAGACTTCTTCTGTCCAAGCAGGCAAATACCCTTTTTGAAACACCCGATGTTTTTTGTTTAACCCTACTTTATCTCCCACACGCAGTTTAGGACGAGCCCGTTTGCGTAACCGCTTTTTATACAATCGATTCCAAATCAAGTATTCATTGTCCGGGGTTACATGAGCAGGTTTTTCTTGAATACTGGAATGAACCGTGTGATTGTATTGCTCCACGATGAGGGGAAGGGCTTTCAAGTAGGTGAGGGTATTGGAAGCAGTAAAATAACGATACAGTTTGGTTTTTAACGATTTAATCAACACCTCAGCTAAAGCGGCTTTTGTATCCCCTTGGGTGGAAAAATGGTCTACTTGGTGTTTTTTAAAAAAGGCTTGCACCTTAGCGTTCATGAACTCTGTCCCGTCGTCTGATTGCACCCGTTGAGGTTGTCTGGGGCTAGCTTGTTTCCATAACATCTGTAACGCTTGCACCATCACCGCACCTGTTTTGTTTTTGATGAGAATGGTCCAGGCATATTTGGACAGGACATCCACCACGGTTAAAATGTATCGGTGACCTTTATTCCATTTGGCTAATTTCTGGACGTCCATCAGATCCATCACCCACTGTTGATCGACTTTAAAGACCATGACGGGTAAGGTAGGAAATGGCGACGTCGGGGCTTGTGTAACGTGTAACTCAACATGGTTTCTAAGACTTGACGAGCTTTGGATTGAGAGACTCCATGGGCTTTGGCAAATTTAGCCACACCTCCTAACGAACCAGGTTGGGAAGGATCGACATAGGCGTTCGACAGTTTTTGCGCCATGATACATGAACCACTGTGCTAACAAATAGGACAATGAATACGTCCATGAAGAATAGTGTGTCTTTAAATAGTGAACAATCAATGGTCCCTGCGTGGGAAAATGACGTTGCAACCAGGTGATGTAAATAGCGTAACGACCCCAACTGCGATGGGTGTCCATCATATACTCAAATAAGGCAATAGGTGCACAGCTCTCTTCTGGAATGGGTCTGTCTTAGGCTAGTTTTTGACAAATCCACATAGTGCATCTATACTCTAAGGCTTCCATGGTGAACAATGATATCTATGAGGAGGTGGCTGTGCTTTATACTTCAAAAAAGTTTTTGGCATACCCTTCCGTTCCAATACGTGAAGGACATGGTATGGCCAAAATGGTATCACCGGGTTGTTTTGAATCAAGATATCTTTGACACTTTGGACAGAGCAACTCGTACCGCAATTGAGCATTATCTGTTTGTAATGCAGCTATTTGCCCTTTCATGTCTTCAATTTGTTTATCTCGGACCTGTAAAAGGGCTCGGAGTTGTTTCAATTCAACTTCACAATCATGCCAAGCGCGAGTCATGTCTAACAACCTTTTAGATGACATGATGATGACCCCAAAATAAAACTAAATGGAGTAGATTGGGTTGCTTTATAACCCTAATCCTAACCCCTTGGGACTAGGGTTTATTACCACATTAACCCTAGCCTTAGAGACAAAGAACCACGCATTACCAATTCACACTTTTTATTGTTTAAAACAACACCAATGATGGACCCTCGTTTTTACATCTTTCTGCACATCCACTAATTGTTCAAAAAAACGTTCTTGAGCTGGGGTTAATGGTAACCCTTGTTGGTTTCGTTTACGGCAATACGACGCCAACCTGCACACTTTTTCCGGCAAGTCACCAAAGGGCCAGAGTCCCTTCACATAATCAGCAATGGCTGCTTCGTTTTGAGGCCAAAATCATGTGACGGGTTTGCACTGATGATGACAGGCGTGCAAATACTTTTCATCTGCAGGGGATAAGTGTTTGCCTTGGTTTTTCTCTTTTGCCAGTAGGACGCTAAACTGGCATCACCAGGAGGTGAGCCTCCAAAGGTCTTCGACACACAGGTTTGAAACTCGCTGTTGACCCTGGCATTGATGTCACCCCATTGGTCTCGTTTCTTGATTACCTCCGCTATCTCAGGACTCCAATGAAAGGTACTTGGCAGGGATTTCTTCCAAGGATTTACACTCTGTTTGGTCTGCCGCTGCTGCTCTTGTTGTTTGGCAGATTCTGCAAACTGATTGAACCAGGCTTGGTCGGATTGCCGCTTTTTCCACTGCTCGACATTTTGCTCTGCTTGGTGCATCCACTCTCGATTTTCTTTAGTGAAGGATTTGAGGGGTCTTGGTTTGTAGGTTTTTCGCAGCCAGTCTGACATGGGATCAGAAGGCAATGGATACAACAGTGTATGGATCCGTTGAAAATACTTGCAACGAGCGTCTTGAGAGGAACCACCACAGGTAAGAAACACTTTGTTGAGATTTTTGGCAGTTTTACTTAACGCATCTTGGGGAGCTTTTGGCAATGACACATTAGATTACCCCATTTGGCATGGACTTCAAGATGAATCTCTTGTTGAAGGACCATTTTGACTTTTTTCTTATCTTCGTCTTTTCCATAATACGAGGGACAGGGTTTCTCTTGATCCCAAAATACTAGGAGAAATTCAATGGTTAATGGTTCATTCCCGTGGAAGTTCATGATGTTAACTGATCATGATTCAACGCATGCCGTGTATTTAACAAAACCCCTATGACGTCAACCCCTCCCTAGGGAGCGGGCAAGTCTGGGTCATGACGTCAATGACCCTCCCCAGGGAAAGGGTAAAACATGACAAACAACATGCACTCGCGTAGCAAAAACAACTTTAATACAATCACACGTTTTTACAATGCTTTAAGGGAATTGAAATCCTCCTTCGGTTTTCTGCTTTTTCTCCAGGCTCATCCTGTCACTGACCATGTCCGCCAGTCCTTTCTTCAGGGCTTTTCGAGTGGCTGTCTTGGGTACATAGTTGGGTTTGGGGGGCTCATGGATCCACTGAAAATACCCACATCTGGCTTCTCGAGGTTTGGGACAGCCTAGGAAGACTTTGTTCATGTTTCTGGGTGTTTGACTCAACTGCAATTTGGGCACTAACCACAACGACAGCTAAGGGTTCCACACT